GAAGACTCCCTCATAGCCTGGCAGTCTTCCACTAGGTGATTTGATCTCTCACACCACTGACATTGAGCTACTGGAGGTGTAGCCAAACCTCTTCCCGGAATAAGACTGTTGGGCTGCTTCAATGTCTGCACTAACTCGGCCACCTGCTGCTCGTGCCCGAATCTGGTCTCTATGGCGTGCACACCACGGTCCCGGGAATGTCTGCCTCTGCTGCTCTGCCCCCAGGAATGATCTCTGGCAATCAAGGTTCTGATCATCTGGTTCAGTTCGGGTGGAGTCTTAGTAAGAATATCCCCTCCTGGGCATAGAGACTCAATCACCCTCTAGCTGTCCGAAGAGAGGGCACTGTAGAAGTTCCCCACTGTGAATGCATCACTGAAACCATGAAGGGGACACTGCTAGAAATATCCCATGTACCGCTCGCATGCATCACGAAGTGACTCGTCTAGCTCTTGGCGGAAGTGAGTGATCTCCCGCTGGATCTCTGTGGTTTTCGATGCTGGGTAGTACCTGTGCACGAACTTGTCAGCCAGATCATCCCAAGAAGTGATGGAAAATGGGGGCTGGGTCTCCAACCACCTCTTAGCATTCCCGCCAGAGAATGGGGGAAGAGGTGAAGGCGGATTGCATCATCAGGGACACCATTCAGCTTGAACCCGTTCGTCAGCTGCAGAAAACGGGAAAGATGCACCCTTGCCTCCTCATCCTTCAAGCCATGGAACTGGATAAATGATGTAATGAGTTGAATCCAGCATGGCTTGATCTCAAAGTTGTTCGCTGGAATAGGCGGATAGAGGATGACCGGGCGGATGTCAGCAATCCGTGGAGTGTAGTAGTACTCCAAGGTGGGACCCGGCGACGGTGGATAATGATGAACCCCATCTTCCTGGGGTATGGGGTTGTTCCCCAAGACCTGATTCACCGGGGGAGCCTGGTGAGGATTCCCCTGTTGTGGATTGTAATCTCCTTCCATCTCGTACTCGTCCTCGGACTCGCTGCTCAAATGGCCGTCTAGGCGCTCCTCCGTAGCCAGTCTAGCTCGCTGTTGTCTCCTGAGTTGGCAACAGGTGCGTTCAATCTCTGGATTCAACGACAGTAAATCTCCCGACTGGCTACGGGTCATGCACTACCTGCACACACTTAAGCAAGCAAACAATGCGAAAAGAAAAGCTAAATCAACAGAATTCACGTTTCTTCAACAACCTAGCCGTCCCCGGCAACGGCGCCAAAAACTTGACTCACTCCTACTGTCACTCTAGAAAATGGCCAAGTGTAACCACTTCCTAAAGCGTAGTATAGCGGGTTTGGGTTTTAATGTCAACCCGGGTCCTAGATGTGATGACTACTCAGTGAATTCTTATTATCTAGCGGTAAAACTTAAGTGCAGGTTCAAAGAAACAAAAACACAAAGTTAAATGGTTGTTTCAAGTCGAGAGAGGTCACCCGGATATGGTTCCCCCTAGACTGCAGTTAAGCCAGATTGCAATTATCAAGTTCAGTTTCTATGATAGTTATACTGTGGAAGGTTCTTAAACAGTCTGAAGTCTCGACTAAAGGTCTCCAGACCCTCTCAATCTGAGTCTCTAGCGGGCGACTAACCTCCACCGGGGTAAACAGATTGAGGCCCTAACGAACAAAACCTCCTCTACCGAAGTAACTTCGGTACTGAATAGTGACTGGCTCCTCGACTAAAGTCGCCAATTCACTACCTTCAATTAAGGGTGCTCTATCAACCTAGGCAGATATTCTCATTCTAGGTTAAAGCAGAAACAACATGAATTTGATCAGGATTCATGCCATTCAATCATTCAAATCTCAATTGTATATAATCAAATCATAGAATCTGTACTTGGGTTCATACAATCAAACCTAACATACAAATCTAGGGTTTCCCATACCCAGATGAATGGGAGAACTACTCCATGGAGAAAGAAGTAAAAGCATATTCAGATGCGGAAACCATACTGTGAAGGATAGATTTATGCTCCTGGGCATCGATCGGCACTCCTCCAAGCTCAAGCCAAGCTCCAATGGTGATGAAGATCAAGCTAGGGCACTTGGGAACTCTTGTTCATCGCTTTCTCTCTCTAGGAATCACTCTGTCTCTCTAAAACTCGAATCCACTTCACTTGTGGCTGGAAATTGGCTTAAAACCAGAAAATCCCGACTCACACGGCCATGTCACACGGCCGTGTGACTCCCCCAGCTGCCCGTGTGGCTTTGCAAAACGCGGCGTTTCGTTAAGTAACTTCAGGCTTCCCCACGACTCACACGACCGTGTGAGTGTCCAGGCTGCCCATGTGGCTTTTGCCGAGCCTTCACACGGCCACAGTGGGTCTCCCACATGGCCGTGTGGCTTCTCAGCTTCTCGCCAAGCGTCCAAACTTCGTCCAATCGACCCCGAACTCGTTCCTAAACCTTCATTCACGTACTACGACCCGAAATATCACAAACAAGAACAACCTAGCGTGAAATCGGCCTAAAACACGGGAATCGACATCTCAAACTACTCAAGAATAGGGGTAAAAATATGTGTAATCTATGGTCTATCAATACCCCCAATTATTGGAGAAGCCATGAGGGTCCATGTTTCAGATTTGCACCAACAAAAACAGAACACCCTAAGTGAAAAGCAAGGGTGTAAAAGAAAAGAAAAATGCTAAAGTAACAAACTTCTGTCTTTCCTAATAATCTAGAAAGTCCACGGCAACAACGCCAAAAACTTGACACGCTACGACACAACTCCTTACAATGGCCAAGTGTAACCAATAAAAGGGACTGTAGTATAGTGACACAAGTAATAAGTATCGAATCCATGGGTCACTAGACTTACTATTACTCAGCTTCAGTTCATTATCTAGCAAACTAGATTAAGGATTGATTTACTAAACTACTCTACTAACTACTCTACTAATTACAGGTTGGGAACTCACTTAGGTACGATTCCCCCTAGCTCCTCAATTAGGTCCAAGTTGTAATTCCTTTTGGTTGTTCTACTATTGATTAAACTGCGGAAGATCCTAAATTAGCTTGGAATCTCTTAAGCTAACCAAGCCCACTTAGACAGAATACCCGACAGGCGACTAGCCTTCACCGTGATAGACTGCTAAGGCGATTCACACATATCTACACTACTAGAATGAATTCCAGTACAAAGCAGTGAATTGAATGACTTTCGCACAACCAATTCACGACTATCAATCAAAGAAGCTCTCTTAACCTAATCAGATTCTATCTATCATAGGTTAAAGCAAAAATCAAGAGAATTTGACCAGGATTCAATTGACTCAATAAATCATTCCTCAATCGATTATAATCACACAATATATCATCCAAAAGTCATTACAAGAAAGATCCTAACACATGGAACTAAGGTTCCTCAAAACCTAAGTGAAGGGAAGTTACTAGGGCTGGCTATACGGTCCAGTCCGGTTAAATTGGATCAAATTGATCTGGTCCCAGTCCGGTCTTTTCGGGAATATAAGGACCAAAGATTGGATTGGATACACTCCGGTCTTGATCCGGTGCGGTCTTGACCCGTTCCGGTCCCAATTTGATTTTGATTTTAGATTGAGCTTGTGGGGATTTGAGTGTTGGGGTCTCTTATCCGGTCTTTATCCGGGTGTTTTACCTCAAATCTAAGCCCGAATATGAGATTGAATTGTTTGCTATCCGGTCCCAGTCCGGGTTATACGGTCCGGTTTTGGGTAAAACCAAACAGTCCTGGACCAAATTGCCAGCCCTAGAAGTTACTCCATAGAGAAGAGATAGACTGCAGAAATCTGATCTAGATCTTCTATCTCCATCTCCAAGCTTGATTCTCAAACTCCAATGGCAAAGAAATCCTCCAAAATAGCTCCAAGAATGTTCCCAAGTTGCTCTCTCTCTAATGTTCGTCCGTTGGGTGTTTGGGATCCAAAACCCAGCTCTCTCCTCTAAAAAATCGCAGAAAATAGACTTATACCCGAGCAGGGGACAGAAATACGGTTGGGAGCATGGCCCGTGTTTTGGTCCCGCCCGTGTTTTGAATCCCTTCAGCAGTCTTCACAAGAGAGGCTCGGCATAAAAAACACTGGCAGGTGCTAGATGAAACACGACCGTGTTTCTTCTGCCGAACCTGTTCCCCTATATTCAATGCTTCGTTTCTCCCTCGTCCGAACTCCGAATCAGTTGCCATTTGATCCTAGACGCTCGTAGTATCGTCCTCTTTCTTTTCATGACAAGCTTGCATGATTCTTTGTCCATAAATCTGATGTTGGTGTTATTGATGGAAATAACGCCAAACTGGTTCTCGATGGCAAGTCCCAACAAGGGTTACACTTGCTGCATGTTTTGATTTGTTAACCGCCCTTAGGGGCATTTGGAGGCACGGGAGATTCTATTACAGCTGATTTGGAGGAGTTTGGTACGTCTGGCAATTCTGATTACATCTGAGTTTGGCGATTTGTATCGCGTTTGAGTTTGGTGATTTCGATCGGATTTGGATATCTGGCGATTTCAATCGCATCTGGGTAAATTTGGCAATATGGTTCGTGTCTGGGTACATCTGGTAACTTTGGTTACGTTGATACATCTGGTATTTGAGAGAGAATTCAAGTCAAGGTGGAGATTGTTAGAATATGTCTTAAATTTGATTTTGTTTGAATTGTGTTTTGGGTCTAATCTATTTGGGTTTGACCTTTTCTTTGTATGTTTGGGAAAAGATGTTTGGTTTTCTATTTGAGATTAGCAAAAGAGTTTTATAAATACTCTTCATAACCCTAATCTGTTGTAAGGTCAGTCATGTTAGTTTGTTTCGGAATTTGGTTTGTAACCTGTGCTCTCCTCAAAATCAGTGAAATTTGTTCTCCCCTGTCCGTGGATTAGCTAGCACACATTGTGTTAGTAAACCACGTTAAATTTGTGTTCGTTCGTGTTAGTGTAGATTATCGACTACACGCTTCTGTTATGACACATGCATTAATGACAACGCATCAGTTTAACTATCATCAAAACCAAACGACACTAAATTATCTTAATAGGTGTATATACATTCACAAAAAATATTACATAGGACAGATCTAACTAACGCTCCTAAGTGTGAAGCTAAATCATCATCGGTAAACAAACCCAAGCCCGGTAATAACTCAACTAATTAGCATTGTTTAACGCCTTAACCACTCCAACAAAGGGATTAGAAGAGAAAAAGAAAGATCAGTGAGAAGAAGGTGATGACGTAACCGACTGTCTGTCCAAAACCAGAGCATCCGTCGATTTCCTCTCCAAAAACATCGGCAGCTCGTCGTCTCTCTTCCTGGTCACGCGTATGTAACAGAAGACCGCCATACACACGGCGGTGAGAAGGCCGCCGATTATAACTCCGCCGCCTGCCACCGACTTGTCAGTGTGCTTCTTCCTCTGCCCTTCACCCTCCCCTGCCACCGCAGCTTCCCCTGCTTCCACGACGGTCGGCTCTGCCGCCGGCAGATCGGAGTACTTAGGCTTTGGAGCCTCGCTTGTTTCTTTGCTGGGTCCGGGCGAGGGGGCGGATTGAGCCGCCGCGATGGAGGTGAGGACGAGGAGAAGAATGAGAAGAAGTTTCAGAGACATGGTAAAATTAACCAAAAGAAGAATTGATCAGAGAATGATCTTGTTTGGTTTGGTTTTAATTTTCAGGTAAGGTAGATTCGTGCGGACTATTACCCCAATTAAGGAAGAGATCTTGGCGGAATTGAGGAAATGGAAGTGAAGTGAGAAAGGGAGGAAGATCTTGTTCTTGTGGGAGATGGAGTGGCAGTGATTTAGCTTAGAGGTTACGAGGTTATGATATATATAGAGAGAGTAACAGAGAGATGGGTGAGAAACAGAGGCTACTGCGGGTATTGGATGTTAGAGAAATGAAAGGTTCATCAAATTCTTCGTTTCTTCAGTTAATTAAAAAAAAAAATTTCAGTATCAAGGATTGCATTCTATAATATTTTATTTATTTATATTAAAAGCGGCAAGCGTGTGGGGCGTTTGGGCTTGGTGTTGGGTTGGGTAACAGGGTCTGTCTCGGCGGAGAAGAAGAGGACCACAATTTGTGCCATTAAATGCAGCATTTATTTACTTCCTTCATTCTTTTGTGGCACCGAAGGCTGGCAAACCCGGTTGGTTATCGTTCTCTAATAATTAAAAGTGGCCTAATTCCAAAATATCGAAGCATGCTTTATTCTGGTGGGAAATTTGTGCCGGAGGTTGAGAATTGAGATAGAAGAAAAACTTAAAAGCGTATAGAATTTTGTGATTCTAGCTTCGTATTAAATGCCGATTCTAGCTTCGTATTATTCCATAGCCTCTCTTTCTACACTTTCTTTCACATCTTTGATCTTTCTACGCTTTTCTGGAAAGAGATTCTCGAGCATTTGTTTCAAAATTATATGTTTTAAACATAATTTCAAAATGGAGTTACTTTACAACTATTTCTCAATATAACAGTGTTTCTTAAAATATGACCAGAGAAGCAAAATATTATCGTTTGATAGTTGTAGCCGACCAAATTTACCTGGTTCGAAGACCGAGATTGTATTCTCTAGAGTCTCTCACATCCACTTACTCAGACGGTGAGGGACGAGTTCTATTGGTTGAAAACGTGACGTAGGAGGTTGAGGTGCCTTCGACTTCAAAAAACGAAAAGTAAACCGAGTGCGAGAAAAGTAAACCTATGCTTATTAGCGAATGAGGATGCAAAAGAGAGATGTGTTGCATAGCAAAGTTCCCCCTAAAGTTCCTAGATACGTTCCCTCGATACTAGCAACCAGGGGCGTAGCCAGGATTTTGTCGAGGGCGGGTCCGTTAAGAAAAAAATACATACGATAAAATATTTTTGTTCTCTCTAAGTCATTCATGATATAATTTTGTATTTACAAAAACTTGGTAAATTAAATATATGGTGAAACTATCAAGAATATCACTTTATATGTATCAAACAATTATCTATGATTTAGTTAGAAATTTGCTTTTGAATGGTGTTCTTTGTCAATACCATTTAGTATCAATAACTCGAGTTGTTGGGAAAGATTTTATAATAAATCTTATACTATTTAGTATTATCTACCACTTCCCTGCTTTAAAAAAACAACTTATGAGTGTTTAAAGGTTATAGAAATCCGAATATCATGTGCTTAACAAAATGAAGTTACAAAGATTCGAACAAATGACATCTGGGTAAACCATTATAATTTAACTATTATACTAATTTACTCATTTTCGTCCTTAGGAAACACCAGTTACACTCTACCTATCCTGATTGAAATAAAATTAGTTTTACAAATTAGTTATGAATTGGTGGAAATTTGTTGTATATATTGAACAAGTACATCTTTAATTTTGGGCGGATCATATACACCATTATCATTTGTACATAGCTCATTATAAAAACATTGAATATGCCAATGCTTGTTATAAATCATACATCAAATATTTCAAAGGTCAACCATTTTCATTTAAATACGTGTAATTTTTCCTACCCGATTAACTATTGTATCTCATTGAACATTTTCCGTCCCAAGCTGGACCCACCCTCTAACTCTTTCCTTCTGCCCCTGCTAGCAAAATACTAGTTGTTTGTTTCTTATGTCTTCTAATCCCACCTTGGCGGCTCTCGTACTAATGGAGGACAAGGACTCTATGGATTTCCCCCTTGAGGTGTCATGTTGTTTGATTGAATGATGATCGGTCGGATATAATCGTCATGTCTGGTATTGTTCTGGGCTACTAAGATTTCGATGCTTGCACCACGAAGGGAAACAAGCTCGACTAAGCTTTCATCCAAACCAACAAAAGATAATAGAGGAAATCATATAAAAAATATGAAGATAAAAACAATCATGTTGAATACCAAACATCAAGTTTTACATATCTAGAACCTCTACGGTTTGCATACGTATGCAACTAAGTGAATTAGCCTACCATGTGGATAGGTTTCTGGGATTCATTGATTAAAATGATGTCCTTAGAGAACCACTAGAATCGGCAACGACAAAAGAGAAATCGTGCTTTAGGGCACTGATTCTGCCGTTGATTCCTTCCCAGTAACCTATGTCGCTCTACATCAGGAGGGTTACCATGTTGCCAGATTAATGGCCTTATAACTACTCTTATCTCTAGATACCGAGTTTTAAACCCCAGAAAACTTTATATAAGTCTTCAATTAGGGTTTCTTGGGAGAGACATTCGGCCTTGGCGCCTTTCTGACGAAGTACTCAACTTCCCGAAAAAGGCAGCCATCGCGCCATTTTGAATCATGGGCCGCCAAAATGGGTGTTAATTTTGGACATGGGTTTCTTCTCCGAATCATGCTCCAACAATCGAGCCTCGATTTCCCTCTTAGCTCCTAAGTTGTTCGTTAGCTTGCTTTAACCTGAAAATGCACAAAAGGCTACCAAAAGCATAACATAATAACAAAAGCAATCCCACACACTTTGAGCATTCAAATAGCAAATCTAAGGTATTATGACACTAAAGATGGGAAACAAATGAATTTTTATCATATAACAAGGGGTTCTAAAATAGTGTATTTCACATGTCATCAAATAACCTAACACTTGAACTTTCCTTGTCCCCAAGCAAACCTAAGTTAATAAATGTACAAATCACTAGACCTTTAATCTTAAGGAGCTTGCAAGGTCAACCTTTGTACTTAGAGAACCTTGGCCATGGCAATGAAGTCTGAAACATACTATGCAAGGACGATGTGATTCGTGTCTTATGAGATTGAGACTTTTCCTAAACTCGATTATTTCTATGGATATGGGGTGATGCATATGTAGCTTGGTTAATCATTTATGCACATTCCTATCTCGTGACAGTCTTTTTCATGATATTTTAGGTGTTCTCTCTTCTCGTGTTATGCTAGCTAGCCTTTATCACTTTTTGTTGCTCAAGTGGGTTTACTTTGCCTCATACTTTGGTACTTGGCAGCCTAATCGAGGAAGAGAACTTTCATCCCTTAACGCTTGCATAAGGGTCTACGTTCAACTCCTTTTCCTCGATCATTCGGAGAGTCAATGAAGTCAAGAGATGTCGGAAGTTTTATCACTGTCCTGGAAAACATATCCTCAAGTGGCAATCCTATATGTGGGTGGAAGTTTTACTTGTACTAGAAAAGAATAATCTTTATTTCGTAGGACTTTCCCACTTAAACTCGATTGGTATCTCTTCCAGAACCCAATTTTTGCAATGATAGGACACCCTCACACTCATCTTTTTAGCCCTCACTTTATTTCTAGCGTCAACGTTTTTTAAGTAGACTTGTCGTGGTAGGTTCGGTTGTAATGAGGTACATATCGCCCTCTTTTTGCTATTAATAACAAAAGACTCAAAATGAGGAGTTTATTAAGAGCTCCAAACAATAGTGAGAAGCATATATACTTACTTTTGAAGTTGGTAAATGTCTCATGATGAGGACATCCTTCATATCCCCGACTCTAGCCTACCTAGATCATGTATTACTATAAAGACTAGCAATTCAATGCATGATGACTTCAAAACCTACCAATATGCGATTAAAACAACACATTTGCACCATCTACGAACATGAACAATCATGTATGAATTTTTTTATATAATCTACCTTGTTCCGTATGTCAATGATATATTAAGTTTCTTTGTCACATTGGTTGTAAAACTGTGGAAAAATTAATAAGATCTGATGTCTAAGAATTAGTTATATTGTTTTAGGGGTATGAATGCAGAAAGTGTTAATGTAAATGAGTATAGAATATTTTTGTATTAATTAGAGGCTGAAAAGCCAGGAAAAGGACACAAAAAAGTGGCAGGGCCACTCCCTCTGACGGAAGAAAAGTTCAACGGTCGAGTAAAGAACTGAAAAAAGAAGAACAGAGACAGGTAAAAAAACAAAAGCCTAGACAAGCCTCACAGGCCTAGGCCCAATTAAATACTCACTCTTTGGTGCTACACTTGCCACAGGAAACTGATTCATGGAATATCTTCCCTGAGAATCTTATCCAAATTCACTGGAGGTTCATCTAGTTCATTTCTACCGAAGGAATATATGAGATTGTGCTTCTAGAGCTAGTCGGCAACTCTATTCCCTCTTATGTACATATGAACCACCCAACTTTGTGCAATGATGCGAAGGATATTCCCAAGAATTGTTGCATAAGGATGAATAGAGTTTGTACATTTATTGATGAGTTCAAGTGTGAGTTTGTGAATTTAACTGTAGGATGAGGAATTGAGCTCCCTTCCGTCAAGCAAGCTGCAAGCCTTGATAGTTTACCCATAATTTTGCCATTAAAGTCGTCCTAGTGCCTAATTTACTGCATAATCCTCTAAATCAATCCTCATAGCAATTTAGTAGTACCTCGTCGGTGGTTGTCAATCCATAATTACTATGCACTGCACCATCTGAATTAAGCTTCCAACAGCCAGCTCTCGGAGAATTCCAACCTATCAGGGATTCAATTCTGGCTGGAGGAGCTGAAATAATGCTCTCATTGCAGGCTGTTTCCCCGCTTTAGCCCATTCCTTGGCTTTAGTCATCACATAATTGTAGAGAGAAGTTGCTGAAAGTTTGCTTCCTATGAAAACATTGTTGTTTCTACATTTCTAGATATACCAAATTAGCAAACTAAAGAGCTTACCCAATTTCCAGCCTAGTTTCCTTGAGACACATATGTGAGATTGTTATGCGGTCATCTTTCATGATTGGCGCTGAAGAATCCCGTTTGTTGATCAATGGGGACAACTCTGTTCAAAACCTCATTAGCCATTACGCAACCTCTTAAGCAATGTAGATTAGTTTATGGAAAATAAGTGCAATTTGGGCAAGAGTCTTCATGAGTAAGATGTCTATACTTCCTAATGGAATTTGTAGTTAGTTTCTCCTTGGAAGCCATCCAAGCATAGACCTAGACCCACTCAGGAACTTGCAGCTTCCATATCTTGTTCCAC